TGTGCAGAGAGCGGACACAATCCCGATTTTTGAAGCTGTGAGCATATTACAGCAAGAACAACACTATAATAAACGTTTCACATTAGAAATGCTCCACATAATTAACACACCACCAAACAAGAGACTAAACTACAAAACAGACACAGAAAACTGCGCCCACATATACAGACACCTGCTTGACACTTGTAATATCAGTTCTAAACTGCACGACAAACGAGACGGACGTCGTGGAGCTAAAATTTAATTAATGTATGTACGTATTTATGTATGTTTTTGATGTGTTAGCTTTTTCTTATATGTTAATAAAAAAACTTGTGTAATTGTTGTAGCCCCTGAAGACAATCTCCGGAGGAGATTGAAATATATTGGGAAGGAATGTAATCTCATGTGTTTTAATTCCATCAACACCCTGACCTCAAAGCCGGCATTAAAAAGGATTAGTTAAAATTAAAATTAAATCAAAATGCGTGAAGTGGGCCACTTAAAAACCTTTTCTTTCGGATAACCAACGTTCTTTGGTAGAGGTCGAGTTAATATTTGTGTCCCTATACCTTATTTTGCAATAATCCTCTTACTTTGCGAAAAATCGCGAATTTTACATTAACATAATCATTTCTTTCATTGGTCATACCTCCTGAATGGGCAGAGACAACTTAATCATTTTGATTTAAATAAAGCGGAAAACTGAATTTTGACGCAAACGAAATAACGTTTTGTCGAAATGTATAATTTTAAATTTTAATTGCTTTCAAAAAAAAAATACAAATTTAATAACTTGTGCTAAACAGAGGGTGTTGACGCCACTGTCTAAAATATATTATATTATACTAGAATAATCTACTACTTTCGTTTTTATCGATAAATTTAAATGACTTCTGTCACGAGCCGTAAGAGGAGTTCTGGAATTGCGCCAATTGTACTTTAATTAGTTCGTGCATAAAGTAGCTCGAAAGCAATTACTCAAGATCTCGTCATACGTCCTGGTTTTTATACCTTAAAGTATGTATAATTTAACGATATCATATTTCTCAAATTGATCTAATTTAAGTTTGTATCCATAATAGGAATTTTAACATACATACATGTATAATTACATGTATAGAAACTATGCAAAATAAAACCTGAATTCACATCCAGCTGGCGTAGTTTTCGTTCAAAATTCTAAGAAAATCAGGGCGCTTTAATCCGTTGAGAAACTGTCTCAACATTTTAAAATTCTTTAAGAATTTGCGGCCATGGTTGCTGTCAACGAAGTTGCTGGTGAAAACGAAATACAATTGTACTGCAGGTCTACACGTGTCCATTGCTAACCTCAAAGTAAGTACAATATGAATTCCTATGCTTTAAAATGTCAACCACAACCCCCGCACTGTTCACATTGCGAAAATGACAATAGCGAGGCCTACGTATCCTGCGTTAAATGTCACAAGGCGTTTCACGAGTCCTGCGCCTATAACGTTTCTGACTTCTCCCTAAAAGTATGGAAATGTCTGAATTGTATAGAATCGGCTTCGACGTCATCGGCGCGAAGTATTTCAAGCCTCTACCTCAACAAAGCGCTCAGCTGAACTCGAAATTCAACGATTGGAGGAAGAGAGGCAAATGGCTATCGCGCGTGATCAGGAATTCCTTGATAAAAAATATAAGATTCTTGAAGCACATAACCTTAACAATGTCCCTCAGCATAAAGAAAATCTAGAAGACTCTATTTCAGCAAAATCTATTTATTTCGATGCCTTAACAGGCAGTTCAGCACCACATTTGATAAACAGAACTTCAGCATCGCTCCCGAATGGTCCCATTATTGAGCAATTCAAGCAAAATGAAAGGCAGAATAAGTCACTATTTGCTGGTCAGATTACTGCTACAGTGCAGTGCCCAAATTCTGCGCTGGCTTGCGCGCCCGCGATATCAACGAATGCAGCTACAGTTGCTGATCAGCCCGCTGCTACAGTGCAGCACCTGAATTCCGCGCTAATGTGCGCGCCAACTCCCACGATGTCGACTTCTGCTGCTCAGTTCGCTAATACCGCGCAACACCTGAACTCTGCGCTAATGTGCGCACCTACGACGTCGACGCATACAGCTACAGCTCGCCTACAACAGGTACACAACCTAGCTTAACATCGACCATTGTAAATTCCGTGCCGATATGCGCACCTCCAACAAATTCCACGTTGTCGTCAACGCACATGGTCGCCCAGCCCAATTCGGCATATTCTTTCAACAACAATTTGTCCACCACGCAAATATGTGCACGCCAATCTGTGCCTAAGGAGTTGCCTACGTTTTCCGGCCAGCCCGAAGAATGGCCTCTATTTAGTTCTACTTTTGAATGGTCCACTACACTATGCGGTTTAACTGATGCTGAAAATCTGATACGGCTTCAACGATCCCTCCGTGGCGAAGCTTTGCAAGCTGTTCAGCATATTCTCATACACCCTTCTGGCGTTGGCACAGCAATGTCTACACTTAGGTTGCTATACGGCCAACCAGAAAAAATATTAAACTCTATAAAAAATAGGTTAAGATTATTACCACAAGTAAATCAAAATAAGTTAGAGACATTTACCTTTTTTGCCATTGGTGTAAAAAATTTACAAACGACTATTGAAGCGTGCGGGTTACATGATGAAATGAATAATTCGTCATTGTTACAAGAGCTTGTAGAAAAGCTACCACCCTTTTATCAAATTAGCTGGGGAACGCAAAAACTCGATTTGGCAAAAACTAATATGCGGCCAAATTTAGTCGAATTTTCTAATTGGATATATAATGTTGGTTTATCCGCTAGCTCTGTTGTTTTGTCAACTAATTCAGTTTCAAGTGATAAAACAGCTGTGCGCAAGAATGACAACAAAAAGGGTTTTGTCCATGTACACAATGAAGAAAAGGAAGAAGAAAGAAAAACATGTTGCGTGTGCAAGAAGTACTGCAACAATGTTGCTAATTGCAAAATGTTCAAGTCGCTCGACCGTGGTGAGAAATGGAAGATAATAAGAAAGTTAAATTTATGTAAACAATGTTTACAACAACACGCAAATTTTAAAACATGTGCAGAAGTATGCGGCGTGAACAACTGTCAGCTTAAGCATCACGCTCTACTTCATTGCAACATTGTTCCTAATCAGAAGACGAACCAACCACAACTGAAACCAAATGAAAACTTTGAGAAACATAAATGCAATGCTCATAGCTCACAAAGAGGCGATATCCTCTTTAAAATTATCCCGATAACGCTGAAAGGAAAAAATAATAAAATAGTTAATACGTTTGCCTTTATTGATAAAGGTTCTTCAATAAGCTTATTAGATGAAGAAATTGCTAACGAATTAGAGCTAAGCGGCCAGTCACACGCATTGTGTTTAAAGTGGACTGGTGAAATACAGCGGGAAGAAAAATTTTCAAGAAAATTAAATGTTGAAATTCTGACCCACCACGCCAAGAAAATAATACTGAGCGTACACACAGTGAGCAAGTTGTCGCTGCCAACACAGACAGTGAATGTTGCAGAACTTTGTAGACAATTTAAGCACTTAAGAAATATTCCAGTTCAAGGCTATGAAAACGCTATGCCGCGGCTACTTATAGGAGTAGATAATTGGAAATTAGGAATCCCACATAAAATTCGAGAGGGAAAACCTACTGAGCCTGTAGCGATTTAGACTTCACTCGAATGGTTGATCTACGGAGCTTGCAATAACCAGAAAAAGTATAACGAATCTTACAGTTTTCACATTTGCGAGTGTACTTCAGACGGCGATGCGAAGCTGCAAGAGATGGTAAAACAATTTTACTCATTCGAAAATATAGGCGTTAGTTTGTCATCTCAATTAAAGGCTAGTGCTGAAGATGAGCGTTGTGTAAATATACTGAAGAAACTAACCAGAAAGCGCTGTGATGGTCACTACGAAACCGCGCTTTTGTGGCGATATGACAAATTTGAACTACCAAATAGTTATAATATGGTAAAGAAAAGACTTTTGTGTCTGGAGAAAAGGCTAAATGCTGATCCTAAACTGCTAAGCGTTTTTATAACAACCATTTCAGATTATTTGGCTAAAGGCTATATCCGCAAGTTAGATAAGCATGAAGAAAGTCACGAGAACGTGTGGTATTTGCCAATTTTCGCCGTGTTCAACAAAAACAAACCTGGCAAAACAAGAATAGTATGGGATGCTGCTGCCAAGGTTAATGGGGTGTCACTTAACACGTTACTGCTAAAAGGGCCTGATTTTCTAGAATCGCTGCCTGGTATACTACATCGATTCAGACAAAAGTCTGTCGCGGTGTGTGGTGACATTGCCGAAACATTTCACCAGATTTTCATTAGATCTGAAGATCAACATGTACAACGTTTTTTATGGCGAGAATGCAAGGCTGATATGGAGCCCGAAATTTACATAATGAATGTTATGATTTTCGGCGCTACCTGTGCACCGAATATTTCGCAATATGTCAAAAACCTTAACGCGTCAGATTTCGAAAACGAATTTCCGCAGGCAGCTGGAACTATTAAGCGTAATCACTATGTGGATGCCTATTTGGATTCCTTTGATACAATCGAAGAAGCAATTAAGATAACTAAAAGAGTAAAATATATACATAGTCAAGGTGGTTTCTACATTCGTAATTGGACATCGAATGCAAATGAAGTTTTGCAGGAGCTCAATACTGAACCGCAGGCGACGAGTAAAAGTTTGTGCTTTAGCAGCGATACAGCTATGGAAAAGGTGCTTGGGATATTTTGGATACCAAATGATGACAAAATTACTTTTCGAATATCGGCTACGAAATTAGAGAGCGAAACCTTCACTGGTGATCGACCCCCTACAAAAAGAGAGGTACTGCGCGCATTAATGTCGGTTTACGATCCCCTTGGCTGCTAAGTCACTTTCTTATGTACGCAAAGATCTTAATGCAAGAAATCTGGCGCAGTGCTGTTACTTGGGATGAACCGATTTTGCCAGCAGTTCTCCAAATGGATTAAATGGGTAAAAATGCTTCCGGATTTAGAAAACATCCGCATTAGCCGCTGTTATCTGAAATATTTCGCTAACTATAACTTGCTCGACGTGCAGCTGCATACTTTTGTAGATGCTAGCGAGAATGGATACGCTGCAGTGGCATATTTCAGAATCACGGACGGTGAAGATATTGTGTGCTCATTGATTGGATCTAGACTAAAGTAGCACCATTGAAGCTGACATCCATCCCCCGCTTGGAACTCATGGCAGCGCTTATTGGAGCTTGATTTGCAATTCACATTCTTCAAAACCATACTTTGAAAATCAGCCGAAAAGTGTACTGGTCGGATTCTAAGACGGTCTTGAGTTGGCTGCGTTCCGATCATCGCAAATATAGCCAGTTCGTAGGATTTCGAGTAAGCGAAATTCTTGATTTAAGCAATCCAAGTGAGTGGAGGTGGATACCAAGCAAACTTAATGTAGCAGATGAAGCCACTAAATGGGTGAGCAAGATAAGCCTACAAAATGATGGTCGATGGTTTAGTGGCCCACAATTTCTATACATGGCTGAAAACGAATGGCCGGTCGACGTATGTCCACCTATAGATACGACGGAGGAGATGAAACGCCACCTATTACATATAGGGACAGTTGATGAAGTAGTTGAAGTTAAACGGTTCTCGAAGTGGAATCGCATTGTGCGCACAACAGCATTTGTGCTACGATTTATTGAAAATTTGAAATCGAGGGTACGAGGACAAGATGTGCAGAGTGGGGAACTCATTCAAGAGGAGATCATAAAGGCGGAACATGTCTTATATCGGCAAGCACAGTGGAGCGCATATGCAGAGGAAATTGATATGCTAAAGAATAATAAGCCGCTGCCTAAAGCCAGTCCTATATACAAGAAATCACCTTATTTGGACAACAACATTCTGCGCATTGATGGCCGAATCGACATGGCATGTATTACAAGCGAGCAAAAAAGGCCGATAATTCTTCCGAAAGAAAATATGATAACTACATTAATAATCATGCACTACCATAATTTGTATCGCCATTTAAATCATGAAACCGCTGTAAATGAAGTTCGTCAATTTTACTATATACCACGTCTACGCGTCGTTTTTAAGAAGCAAATTAGAAACTGCCAAATGTGTAAAATTCAAAAGGCCGTACCGCAGATGCCACAAATGGCTAAGTTGCCTCGAGCTCGGCTTGCTGCTCATGTTGCGCCGTTTACTTTTACGGGGTTGGATTTCTTCGGACCTATTTTGATTACAATAAATCGACACAAGGAAAAACGGTATGGAGTTTTATTCACGTGCTTAACCATAAGAGCCGTTCACATAGAAATCGCGTATTCTCTTAATACAAACTCCTGTATATTGGCTATTCGAAATTTTATTGCGAGGCGGGGCATCCCGCGAGAGTTTTTTAGCGATAACGGGACTAACTTTATTGGCGCCGAGAGAGAGCTGCGTCAAGCAGTTGCTGAAGTGAATCGAAACGAGCTTGTTCGCACTTTCACTTCCTCGCATACGAAATGGAACTTTAATCCGCCTCTTGCGCCACACATGGGAGGCGCTTGGGAACGTTTAGTGCGCTCCATAAAAAATGTTTTCTATAAAATAACACCTACTCGCTCGCCAAACGAAGAGCTTTTGAGAAGTATGATGGCTGAAATTGAAAATATTATAAATTCGCGGCCCTTAACGTACGTTCCTCTCGATAACAGCGACGCTGAAGCGATCACACCAAATCACCTTTTGCTGGGGAGCTCAAGCGGCATGAAGCCATATGCGCTCTTGGACGATAGCGCAGTTGTGCTGAAAAGTAGTTGGCTTGAATCCCAACGGTTTGCAGACATGTTTTGGAGACGCTGGTTGATGGAATATTTGCCGACATTAACATGCAGAACAAAGTGGCATGAGAAGGTGAGGCCATTGTGTATCGGGGACTTAGTTGTTGTGGTTGACCCTTCATGCCCTCGCAATGTCTGGCCACGAGGCAAGGTACTTGAAACGAGGTTAGCAAAGGATGGGCAGGTACGTAGTGCAAAAATCCAGACTCTTAGTGGTATTCAAGAACGACCGGTTTCCAGGATTGCGGTTGTAGACGTGTCTCAAAATGTGGAGTAGGGCGAAGAAAAAACTTCTTGCCATACTGCGGGGTGGATTGTTGACGCCACTGTCTAAAATATATTATATTATACTAGAATAATCTACTACTTTCATTTTTATCAATAAATTTAAATGACTTCTGTCACGAGCCGTAAGAGGAGTTCTAGAATTGCGCCAATTGTACTTTAATTAGTTCGTGCATAAAGTAGCTCGAAAGCAATTACTCAAGATCCCGTCATACGTCCTGGTTTTTATACCTTAAAGTATGTATAATTTAACGATATCATATTTCTCAAATTGATCTAATTTAAGTTTGTGTCCATAATAGGAATTTTAACATACATACATGTATAATTACATGTATCGAAACTATGCAAAATAAAACCTGAATTCACATCCAGCTGGCGAAGTTTTCGTTCAAAATTCTAAGAAAATCAGGGCGCTTTAATCCGTTGAGAAACTGTCTCAACAGATGGAGTTACGAAAATCTTGGATGACGTGTTCCAAAATTTTGCTCCGGGCAACTTAAAGTATTTTAGCTGAAGTGAAATACCTTCTTGCTGCTTTTGCTAAATTAAAAAAAAAACGGTTCAATTCCTGAATAATAAAATAGAATCATGTATGGAATGAAGAAAAGAAATATTTACTTTTTTCTATCACGAATATCCTGTCTTAATCAAATGATGGGTACTCGAATGCATACAATCGTATTTTAGCTAGGTATTTGGCCGATCTTTTTCAGTTTGTGGTGCGTGCCTTGATTATTTTGTTTGATGGTTTCTTATGAGAATATTTTTCAAGACAGAAACACACGCGAGCGCTTGCCATTGCCAGCCGAGGGGCAACGGCTGTCTAAAAAAAACCACTTCTATTTTAAAATGTTACGAATTCACGTCGGCAACTTGCGATAATGGTCCGAACATTGTCGGTTACTCGTTAAAAATAGGAATGTCAATATTTTCGTAACATTTCTGCTGAGTTTTAAATTGCTAATTTCGGCTCCTTTTGTAAATTTTATCAATAACATACACAATTTCAATCAATATACATACATTTGCGGCGAAGTAAACCTTACCACTGAACTTTTACTTTAATTTGTTCACAAGTGCAAAAAATGTTTCTGGACTTTCGGAGTAAAGAAATGAATCATCTGAGCCTACGAATGTACATATGTCCCATTGAACAGTTATTGCACAAAGTGAATCTTGAACTTGTTCAGCATAGACCGAGGAATAAATGGGCATTGAAAAAAAAATTTATTGAAATGCAAAATCCTGGTTGCATCAACTCTTGAACAAACAGAATTATTTACCTTGGCTAAAATTGGATCAACTCTTTACAAAAGTTACCCGTTTCTTAGTTTTAAGTTCAGTTCATGGTACTATGAGTAGCTTTATAAATACAAGAAAAAGGTTTCGAAGCAAAAATCAGTTAATCATATTTTCCCATAAATTTTATTCGATATAAAAACAAACTATTTAACTTTAATGAACTAAATTTCACTACACAGTACCCTGATATCTACGAAATATGCATACAAATTTTCAAGAATCTAAGTGAAGTCGGTAAGCTTTGCGTGTATATGAGAATATGTATGTATGTACATATCATATATGTATGTATGTAAGTATATTATTGTATATGACTTTATAAAACATGTTTCACCATTTAAATTAAGTAAATCTAAATAAATATATGTGTTATTACGTTTAATATGGTTTACATTTAACTAAATTATTTAATTACGAATAATTTTTAGATCACTTCGACTTTTAAACAATATCATTAATTTGTATAATCAAATTAAAAATACAACGTTAAGTTTTATTAATAATGTGAAGCAAATCTTTAATATTTCATACATTCGGTGCTAAAATTTTTCACCTGGTTAAATTGCTGCACAACACCCCAATTGCCGAAAAGGCGTTCTCTGCAACCGTAAGTCCTTTATAGGGACACGATTTGATGAGAAAAAGTTCAGTTTGTTTACTGGATCTACTGAGGTTAATAATACATAACTCGCATAACTCATTCCACGCAACCGGAGTATGCAATTCGTCCGACAGCTGCGATAACTGTGGTAAGGCACCCCACACTCTGCTGCATCGCTCGGTATTGCCACCCCCAGAACGTCGTTGTTGTGAGGAGCCTCGCGGGCAACTAGGCGGCTGAAGAAGCCAGGCGGTCTTGATGCCGTACAGGCTACAACAACTGCTGAACGTTGCTCTGGAACTGGCTGGCCGGCATGTAGAACATGGGTGCAAATCTCATCGATTTGTAAATAATGACATCTTCCCTTTCTGTTGTAAAACCAAACTTTCATAAGTATAAAGTATTTGGCTGTTTTTAAAATTAAATGTAATCTCTTTATACATATGTACTACTTAATATTGCAACCTTGTATATAATATCGTAAGTTAAGTGACGAGTCGCTTTGGTTTGTAAATGACGGTGCGGGGCGAGCCGACTGCGCCAGCCCAGAGGCAGTCAACTCTCGACCACCACCGTACTCATTTGTAAATTTGAACTCATCAGTTAAGCCCCTCTTAGACTGAGANGGCCCAGAGGCAGTCAACTCTCTCCAACCACCACCGTACTCATTTGTAAATTTGAACTCATCAGTTAAGCCCCTCTTAGACTGAGAGCTGGCTACGTAGCGGAAGGGGTCATTCGGTAAAGTAGAAATTTTAACATTTACAGGTTCGGTTGTTACCGATATAGCGAGAGGCAAGCCGTCAGAACTCTCACTGGAAGTATAAAGTGAGGGTGGGGGGTTATACATGCAAATAAGTGATGAGGTAAAGTTCTGAAAATTTGCAATATAATCGAAGACAACATAAGAAGGTAGGGCAAAAATTGTCAGAAGTCTAGGCGGAAGTTAGAGAGTCGTCAGAAGGTTGCAAAAAATTTGGTAAAAATTTGTCACTTGGTAAACTTCTGACAATTTATATATTTATTCTGTAATTCAAAATGAAATTATTTGCAAATTGTCAGAAGTCTAGGTGGAAGAATAACGGAGATATTCCGATAGTAAGGGCGTCGGTGCTCCACTCGATCCATCATTATATCTCCTATTTTTTTATTGTATACAGTTTCATAGCCCATTAAATTTTAGTAAAATAAATAAATATTAGTCAAAAAATAAATAGCCCAAACTGAGTATATAGTAAATCCATACATATGTAAACGAATATGTGCTTTGTTTTTTTTTATTAAATAAAAAGTGTATTGTTTTTCACTATTATAATTATAGTTAGTTCAAGTTATTAATAAAAACGCTAATTTTGAAACTGTGTAATTTTTTATGTAAATACATAAATACATACATA